TGGCTTGTTTGCCAATACACAAGTCTCAACTATACAAGAGCACCATTCTTCTAGAAATATTTTTAAATTGTATTTGTTTAAAAGATTATAAAACCTCTTAGCCTAAATCATCCCTTTCACAAAAAGTGAATAGCAAGAATCAACAAAATATAATTAAGCTGTATTTGTCAGTATTTGTGCATGAAGAAATCATCTTTAGAGCAGAAATGGAACACAAGGCTTTCAGAAGAAGAAGAAACGCCCCGTAGAGGAGCAAGAGAAAATGAGCACGGGTTTTTTATGTTGGAAAGACCAATAAATAACAATAACAACAACAATAATAATAATAACCCATCAGGCTAAACATGCCCAGCTCCTTAAGCCGCTCCTCATAGGGCTTGTTCTCCAGACCCTTGATCATTTTAGTCACCCTCCTCTGGACACATTCCAGCTTGTCAATATCTCTCTTGAATTGTGGTGCCCAGAATTGGACACAATATTCCAGGTGTGGTCTAACCAAGGCAGAATAGAGGGGTAGCATTACTTCCCTAGATCTAGACACTGCTCCTATTGATGCAGACCAAAATCCCATTGGATTTTTTTTGCCGGCACATCATATTGTTGGCTCATGTTTAACTTGTTGTCCACGAGGACTCCAAGATCTTTTTCACACGTACTGCTCTCGAGCCAGGCATTGTCCCCCATTCTGTATCTTTGCGTTTCGTTTTTTCTGCCTAAGTGGAGTATCTTGCATTTGTCACTGTTGAACTTCATTTTGTTAGTTTTGGCCCATCTCTCTAATCCAGGGGTCTTCAAACTTTTTAAACAGAGGGCCAGGTCACAGTCCCTCAAACTGTTGGAGGGCCGAGTTATAATTTGAGGAAAAAGGAATGAATTCCTATGCACACTGCACATATCTTATTTGTAGTGCAAAAAACACTTAAAATAATACAGTAATTAAAATTAAGAACTATTTTAACAAATATAAACTTATTAGTATTTCAGTGAGAAGTGCTTTTGGCTGAGTTAGGATTGCTTTTGGTGCATGCTTTCAAGTCATTTCAGACATAGGTTGATCCTGAGTGAGGGCTGGGTAAATGACCTTGGAGGACCGTATCTGGCCCCCGGGCCTTATTTTGAGGACCCCTGCTCTAGACCATGGCCATATAGCCCAAAAAATCCTACAACAACCCAGTGATTCCGGCCATAGAATCATAGAATCAAAGAGTTGGAAGAGACCTCATGGGCCATCCAGTCCAACCCCCTGCCAAGAAGCAGGAATATTGCATTCAAATCACCCCCCGACAGATGGCCATCCAGCCTCTGTTTAAAAGCTTCCAAAGAAGGAGCCTCCACCACGCTCTGGGGCAGAGAGTTCCACTGCTGAACGGCTCTCACAGTCAGGAAGTTCTTCCTCATGTTCAGATGGAATCTCCTCTCTTGTAGTTTGAAGCCATTGTTCCGCGTCCTAGTCTCCAGGGAAGCAGAAAACAAGCTTGCTCCCTCCTCCCTGTGGCTTCCTCTTCCATATTTATACATGGCTATCATATCTCCTCTCAGCCTTCTCTTCTTCAGGCTAAACATGCCCAGCTCCTTAAGCCGCTCCTCATAGGGCTTGTTCTCCAGACCCTGGATCATTTTAGTCGCCCTCCTCTGGACACATTCCAGCTTGTCAATATCTCTCTTGAATTGTGGTGCCCAGAATTAGACACAATATTCCAGGTGTGGTCTAACCAAGACAAAATAGAGCATGGGAAGCATGACTTCCCTAGATCTAGACACTATGCTCCTATTGATGCAAGCCAAAATCCCATTGGCTTTTTTTGCCGCCACATCACATTATTGGCTCATGTTTAACTTGTTGTCCACGAGGACTCCAAGATCTTTTTCACAGGTACTGCTCTCGAGCCAGGCATTGTCTCCCATTCTGTATCTTTGCATTTCGTTTTTTCTGCCAAAGTGGAGTATCTTGCATTTGTCACTGTTGAACTTCATTTTGTTAGTTTTGGCCCATCTCTCTAATCCAGGGGTCTTCAAACTTTTTAAACAGAGGGCCAGGTCACAGTCCCTCAAACTGTTGGAGGGCCGAGTTATAATTTGAAAAAGGAATGAATTCCTATGCACACTGCACATATCTTATTTGTATTGTAAAAAACACTTTAAAATAATACAATAATTAAAATGAGGAACAATGTTAACAAATATAAACTTATTAGTATTTCAGTGGAAAATATGGGCCTGCTTTTGGCTGATGAGATAGGATTGTTGTTGTTGTTGTTGTGTGCTTTCAAGTCATTTCAGACTTAGGTTGACCCTGAGCGAGGGCCGGTAAATGACCTTGGAGGGCCGCATCCGGCCCCTGGGCCTTAGTTTGAGGACCCCTGCTCTAGACCATGGCCATATAGCCCGAAAAAAACCTACAACAACCCAGTGATTCCGACCATGAATCATAGAATCATAGAATCAAAGAGTTGGAAGAGACCTCATGGGCAATCCAGTCCAACCCCCTGCCAAGAAGCAGGAATATTGCATTCAAATCACCCCTGACAGATGGCCATCCAGCCTCTGTTTAAAAGCTTCCCAAGAAGGAGCCTCCACCACACTCTGGGGCAGAGAGTTCCACTGCTGAACGGCTCTCACAGTCAGGAAGTTCTTCCTCATGTTCAGATGGAATCTCCTCTCTTGTAGTTTGAAGCCATTGTTCCGCGTCCTAGTCTCCAAGGAAGCAAAAACAAGCTTGCTCCCTCCTCCCTGTGGCTTCCTCTCACATATTTATACATGGCTATCATATCTCCTCTCAGCCTTCTCTTCTTCAGGCTAAACATGCCCAGCTCCTTAAGCCCCTCCTCATAGGGTCTTGTTCTCCAGACCCTTGATCATTTGAGTCGCCCTCCTCTGGACACATTCCAGCTTGTCAATATCTCTCTTGAATTGTGGTGCCCAGAATTGGACACAATATTCCAGGTGTGGTCTAACCAAAGCAGAATAGAGCATGGGAAGCATGACTTCCCTAGATCTAGACACTATGCTCCTAATGATGCAGGCCAAAATCCCATTGGCTTTTTTTGCCGGCCACATCATATTGTTGGCTCATGTTCAACTTGTTGTCCACGAGGACTCCAAGATCTTTTTCACACGTACTGCTCTCGAGCCAGGCATTGTCCCCCATTCTGTATCTTTGCGTTTCGTTTTTTCTGCCAAAGTGGAGTATCTTGCATTTGTCACTGTTGAACTTCATTTTGTTAGTTTTGGCCCATCTCTCTAATCCAGGGGTCTTCAAACTTTTTAAACAGAGGGCCAGGTCACAGTCCCTCAAACTGTTGGAGGGCCGAGTTATAATTTGAGGGGGGAAAAGGAATGAATTCCTATGCACACTGCACATATCTTATTTGTAGTGCAAAAAACACTTAAAATAATACGGTAATTAAAATTAAGAACTACTTTAACAAATATAAACTTATTAGTATTTCAGTGGGAAGTGCTTTTGGCTGAGTTAGGATTGCTTTTGTTGCATGCTTTCAAGTCATTTCAGACATAGGTTGATCCTGAGTGAGAGCCGGGTAAATAACCTTGGAGGGCCGTATCTGGCCCCTGGGCCTTATTTTGAGGACCCCTGCTCTAGACCATGGCCATATAGCCCAAAAAATCCTATAACAACCCAGTGATTCCGGCCATGAATCATAGAATCATAGAATCAAAGAGTTGGAAGAGACCTCATGGGCCATCATCCAGTCCAACCCCCTGCCAAGAAGCAGGAATATTGCATTCAAATCACCCCTGACAGATGGCCATCCAGCCTCTGTTTAAAAGCTTCCAAAGAGGAGCCTCCACCACACTCCGGGGCAGAGAGTTCCACTGCTGAACGGCTCTCACAGTCAGGAAGTTCTTCCTAATGTTCAGATGGAATCTCCTTTCTGTAAGTTTGAAGCCATTGTTCCAGTCCTAGTCTCCAGGGATGCAGAAAGGAAGCTTGCTCCCTCCTCCTCCCTGTGACTTCCTCTCACATATATTTATACATGGCTATCATATCTCCTCTCAGCCTTCTCTTCTTCAGGCTAAACATGCCCAGCTCCTTAAGCCGCTCCTCATAGGGCTTGTTCTCCAGACCCTTGATCATTTTAGTCGCCCTCCTCTGGACACATTCCAGCTTGTCAATATCTCTCTTGAATTGTGGTGCCCAGAATTAGACACAATATTCCAGGTGTGGTCTAACCAAAGCAGAATAGAGGGGTAGCATGACTTCCCTAGATCTAGACACTATGCTCCTATTGATGCAAGCCAAAATCCCATTGGCTTTTTTTGCCGCCACATCACATTGTTGGCTCATGTTTAACTTGTTGTCCACGAGGACTCCAAGATCTTTTTCACACGTACTGCTCTCGAGCCAGGCATTGTCTCCCATTCTGTATCTTTGCATTTCGTTTTTCCTGCCAAAGTGGAGTATCTTGCATTTGTCACTGTTGAACTTCATTTTGTTAGTTTTGGCCCATCTCTCTCCAAGATCGTTTTGAATTCTGCTCCGGTCCTCTGGAGTATTGGCTATCCCTCCCAATAATAAGCGTGAATGTTAGAGCACGGTAGATGAGCTTTCCTGGTCTGTAGCTTTGATACTGGCCTCATTTCCAACAGATGTAGGCGAAATGTCAGGAGAGAGTGCTACTGGAAGGTGACTATACAGCCTGAAAAACTCCCAGCAACCCATCAAGAGCCTTCTTTGTGGGCGGCTGTTGCTTTTCATTTGCCCCTAAACCCATTACATAAGAAGAAGGGGGAAGGGGAGGAGAGGAAGCTGCCCGGAGGCAAGGAAGCTGCCATGCACTGGCATGGCGTGACATGCAATAAGGCATAGGAGTGGGAGGAGGTGTGTGTGTGTATGTGTGTGTGGAGGGGGTGTATACACTAGGCTTGACTCAGCAGCTCTGGAAACATGCTGCGGCCCCTTTAAAGGGAGCAGTCCCTCCTCCCCTTGTGAACGGCGTCCTCCCCCCGTTTTACTCTCTGCTCCATTGCAGGGACAGGAGCCCCCCCCCCTCCTTTTCCTCTTCCAATCCAAGGGAAAGGGAGCGGGAGCGCGCCTCTGCTGCACCCAGAGAGAGAGAGGAGCCGAGGAAGGAGCCAGACTTGGAGTCTGATCCCAAAGCTCTGTCTCCCTTGGAAGGAGGGGGAAAAGAGAAGGATCCCTCTGGAGCTCGGGCACAAAGGCAGGGAGAGACAGACAGACAGAAGGAGGAGGAGAGCACAATGGAGGCGCCTCGCTTGGATCACCATCCCATAAGCAGCCCCACCAGTCCCTGCGAGGATGTCATCAAGAACCTCAGCCTGGAGGCCATCCAGCTCTGCGACCGGGATGGTGAGTCCAAAGGGAATGTCTGTATGATCATTATCTGCTAAGACAATTGCCAATATTAAAGAAGAATCCCCTTTGTTGCCACCTTCTTTGAATACCTTCCCTATCCCCCAAACCTTTTTGTGAGAACAAAAGACCCCCAATCCTGGCATTTCTGGGCGGAGGTTGGATCCCATTTTCCCAAGACTAGGGGGAGAAAAAGAAGGGGCGGCTGCCTTCCCACGTTACCTGGTTTGGAAAAAAAAAGGAGGGGGAGAAAGAGAGAGATGTCTGCCTGGAGCAATGGCGCAAAAGAGTCCCCCTCTGGCTTGGCTTTGGCGTTGCCTTCCCTGCCAAGGCGAAGAAGGACTTGTTGCCAGTTCCACTCCAGCTCAGTCCAACGAGTAACAGAAGAGAAGGGGAGGTTAGAGACAGCCAAAGCAGAGCCTGGTTGGGGAATGGCGTCTTTTCAGCACCAGGGACAGCTCCCATTCCCTGCCTGGGCTCCTTGATTGCTCTCCATCGAATTGGAAATTCGCTTTGTTTCAACAGCAGAGGGAAAGCTTTTCTGTCTTCCTATTCAGCCCTTTGTCTGTACAAATACAGGTACTTAGAAGAGGAAAAATGGGAGTGGATACAGGGAACCTCCTATAGCCTACCATAGTCTTTCTCAACCTTTCTAATGCCAGCGACCCCTTAATACAGTGCCTCATGTTGTGGTGACCCATACAGGGAACCTCCTATAGCCTACTATAGTCTTTCTCAACCTTCCTAATGCCGGCGACCCCTTAATACTGTTCCTCGTGTTGTGGTGACCCCCAACCGAAGGTTTTCATGGCCGGAATCACTGGGCTGTTGTAGGTTTTTTCAGGCTACATAGCCATGTTCTAGAGGCATTCTCTCCTGACATTTCACCTGCATCTATGGCAAGCATCCTCAGAGGTAGTGAGGTCTGTTGGAACTAGGAAAAAGGGTTTATGTATCTGTGGACTGACCAGGGTGGGACAAAGGACTCTTGTCTGCTGGAGCTAGGGGTGAATGTTTCAACTGACCACCTTGTATTGTCGAAGGCTTTCATGGCCGGAATCACTGGGCTGTTGTAGGTTTTTTCAGGCTATATGGCCATGTTCTAGAGGCATTCTCTCCTGACGTTTCGCCTGCATCTATGGCAAGCATCCTCAGAGGTAGTGAGGTCTGTTGAAACTGGGAAAATGGGCTTATATGGTCCAGTGAATGAAAAGACATCCTCCATTATCAGTTCATAGAATCATAGAATCAAAGAGTTGGAAGAGACCTCATGGGCCATCCAGTCCAACCCCCTGCCAAGAAGCAGGAAAATCGAATTCAAAGCACCCCTGACAGATGGCCATCCAGCCTCTGTTTAAAAGCTTCCAAAGAAGGAGCCTCCACCACACTCCGGGGCAGAGAGTTCCACTGCTGAACGGCTCTCACAGTCAGGAAGTTCTTCCTCATGTTCAGATGGAATCTCCTCTCTTGTAGTTTGAAGCCATTGTTCTGCGTCCTAGTCACCAGGGAAGCAGAAAACAAGCTTGCTCCCTCCTCCCTGTGGCTTCCTCTCACATATTTATACATGGCTATCATATCTCCTCTCAGCCTTCTCTTCCTCAGGCTAAACATGCCCAGCTCCTTAAGCCACTCCTCATAGGGCTTGTTCTCCAGACCCTTGATCATTTTAGTCGCCCTCCTCTGGACACATTCCAGCTTGTCAATATCTCTCTTGAATTGTGGTGCCCAGAATTGGACACAATATTCCAGGTGTGGTCTAACCAAAGCAGAATAGAGGGGTAGCATTACTTCCCTGGACCTAGACACTAGGCTCCTATTGATGCAGGCCAAAATCCCATTGGCTTTTTTTGCTGCCACATCACATTGTTGGCTCATGTTTAACTTGTTGTCCATGAGGACTCCAAGATTTTTGTCACACGTACTGCTCTCGAGCCAAGCGTCCCCCATTCTGTATTTCTTTGCATTTTGTTTTTCCTGCCTAAGTGGAGTATCTTGCATTTGTCACTGTTGAACTTCATTTTGTTAGTTTTGGCCCATCTCTCTAATCTGTCAAGATCGTTTCAAATCCTGTTCCTGTCCTCTGGAGTATTGGCTATCCCTCCCAATATGGCCATGGTCTAGAGGCCTTCATCTATGGCAAGCATCCTCAGAGGTAGTGAGGTCTGTTGGAACTAGGAAAATGGGTTTATATATTTGTGGAATATATCTATTTATAGTGGGGTGGAGCACAACATTTATATGGCAAATATTCAGTGCCGGGGCATAAAACCATAAATATATACAAACATTAAAATCACTTATATCACATTAAAAGTTGCTTAAAAACCATCTCAGGACACCATTTTGCTTCATTGCACTGCCCTAAAGGCTTGGTCCCACAGCCAGGTCTTCACCATCCTTCTGAAGGACAAGAGGGAGGTGGCTGATCTAATATTGCCAGAAAGGGAGTTCCATAACCGGGGGCAATCACTGAGAAGGCCCTGTCTCTCGTCCCCACCAAACACGCCTGTGATGGTGGCGCGACCAAGAGCAGGGCCTCCCCAGAAGAGCTTAGTCTTCACAGTGGTTTGTAAAGGGAGATGCGTTCAGACAGGTAAACTGGCCCAGGGCCATTTAGGGCTTTATAGGCCAAAGCCAGCACTTTGAATTGTGCCCAGTAGCAAACAGGCAGCTAGTGGAGCTGGCGTAACATGGGAGTTGTGTGCTCCCTGTATGCCGCCCCAGTTATTAACCTGGCTGCCTCTCGTTGGACTATTTGAAGCTTCTGAACCATCTTCAAAGGCAACCCCACGTAGAGCGTGTTGCAGCCTAATTTCAGTACCAACAACAACAATATAAAAGATACCCCTGCCATTCTAAAATGCACCCCATTTTTAGATGAGAAAGAGTATCTGAGACCCCCACGGATTAAAAGCCATTGCAAATCTCCTCAAATTGCATCAAATAACACATATCTGCATGTGTGTCCATACCATACCATATTATCAGTAATAATAATAATAATAATAATAATAATAATAATAAACCTTTATTTATACTCCGCTAACATCTCCCGAAAGACTCGGTGTGGCTTACAAGAGGCTGAGGCCAAATACATCAGCAAAACAACAACATAACAAATACAACAATAAATAAACTCATAAAACAAAGCAATAAACATTAAACGATAGCAATAAACATAAAACAATAACACCACGATGCAATTAAAAACTATGGCCGGGCCAAATGTAATGATTAAAATTTTTAAAAATGCTGGACATGACAGGTGAAATGGATGATTTTGGCGATAGGTGCAGGTTAATTTTATTATTTTTATTATTATTACATTTATTATTTTACTCTGTTCTCGGATAGACTGGGTTTCAACTGGCAAGGCATTCCACAAATAAGGGGCCACAATCGAGAGGCTCTCTGCCTAGTAGAAGACAAATGATAAGTCTGGATGTTGGGGACTTCAAGCAAATTTTGGTCTTCGGACCGAAGTAATCTCGGCTTGGTAGGGGGATAAGCGGGCCCTCAGGTACGCCGGCCCCAGACCATATAACGCCTTAAAGGTTAGTACCAGCACCTTGAAAGTAATCCAGTACTCAATCGGTAGCTAGTATGTATGATTATGCTTCATTCCAATGAAGTACTGAAATTCATTAAGTAGCCAGAAACTGATTGGGGACTTGAAGGCACATGCACATACATATTGTGCAAAAGCCTCCTGTCCTCAAGACCTTTACGCTATTAAATTAGCTATGACTAGATCTGCTATATAGAGCTTTGTCCAACTACTATTAACCAGAAAAAGACCCTTGATATATCAAACATAATCCATAATTTAAATGTGAGGCTAAATACCATTGTTTGACTCTCCCACATGGTTTTAATACCCATCTGAACATTTGGTGGGCTAGTGTTAAATTACTATTTGTATAAATCCATATTATTTTGGAATCCATGCTGGAAGTCCATAAGCAAGTCTTTCTAGAGCAGTGTTTCTCAACCTTCCTAATGCCGAGACCCCTTAATACAGTTCCTCATGTTGTGGTGACCCCCAACCATAACATTATTTTCATTGCTACCTCATAACTGTAATTTTGCTACTGTTCTGAATCGTAATGTAAATATCTAAGATGCAGGACCAAATTTGGCACAAATAGCTGATATGCCCAAATCAGAATACTGGTGGGGATGGGAGGGAATTGTTTTGATCATTTGAGAGTTGTCCTTGCAGGGATTTATAGTTCACCCACAATTAAAGAGCATTCTGAACTCCACCAATGATGGGATTGAACAGAACTTGGCATACAGAACTCCCACAACAAACAGAAAATACTGGAAGGTTTTGGTGCATATTGACCTTGAGTTTTGGAGTTGTTGTGCCGTCACGCTTGGGGGCTATTATTCTTAATAAAGGAGGGATGGACGTGGCATCTTTCCCCCAAGGGATTGCTTCTTGCCCTCCTATAGGGAACTCCCAAAAACCCAAAACGCTGTAAATAACTCAAAATAAGTTTTATTGATCACAAAGTCATTTTTCTAAAGCAATGAGCTGGAAAACTTTAGAGGGGTGAAAGAAAATATACGTTACAGTCTCAATTAGTCCTGGGTCCAAGGTGTTTGAAGCTGAGAAGCCTCACCAAGTTTCCTCTTTCCTCAATGGCTGTGAATGCCGGAGCAAACCACAACCCCAGTTCAGATGGCCTATGTTTTGAAGACTCAGGATCTTCCTTTGGTGCCAAAAGAACCGGTTTGAAGGCGCTTGGGTCTCCTCAATGTTGTCCAGGACGATCTGGACATAAAGCATGAGTCCCAAGGGTAAAAAACCTCAGAATTGGTGCTAAGAGGTAACTTAAATCAGGGTCTTTTAGAGTCAAGTCTCTTACTCACGTCCATATGGTAGGAACTCTGATGGCAGAATGAAAAAGAAAGGAAGAACTCCCCTCCTGCAGGAAGAGGTGGAGCCAAACAGTACTGATTGACAGCTATAAGTAACCAATCCATACAAC